CCATCAGCCCTGGGCTTCGGCTCCACCTTCCAGGCCCACTGGGACAGCAACTCTGCTCCCTTGGCTTTAGGCGCACCATTCTCCCAGTCCATCTGAGTGGCGACTCCACCCTTAGAAGCACCAGAGGCCAACACTCCACCCTTTGAAACCCCTGAGGTCATGGCCATACCTTTTGAGACTGAGGCAGCTCAGCTTCTTGTGTCCCTTGTCTCTTCAGCATCTGCTTCTGTTTCCTGTGGCCTCTTGGCCCTCGCGCCTCATGCCGGCATCTGCCCTGCTGGGGCAAGTGTTCCAAAGCTCTGTAGCTCCACTGGTATAAGTGCCCGGAGGCACCCCACTCCGCCAGAAAGCCTCGTGCACACAGACACTCAGCTCTCTCGCTCCGTGGGTCGGCAAGCCTAACTCCACCTATAAGTGCCCGGAGGCACCCCACTCCGCCAGAAAGCCTCGTGCACACAGACACTCAGCTCTCTCGCTCCGTGGGTCGGCAAGCCTAGATCCACCGATAAGTGCCCAGAGGCACCCCACTCCGCCAGGAAGCCTCCTGCTCACAGGCACTCAGCTCTCTCGCTCTGTGGGTCGGCTCCAGCACCATCTTGCACTGGTCTCCTGGTTCTGCTGCTGTTGGCTCTCTGCTGCTGCCGCTTCTCTGCTGCTGTTGGTCCTCTGTAACTGCCGTACGTCTATCTATTCACAGTTTTAAAACCACTTCCACATTTTAGGTATCTGTTAGAGCAGCACCCCACTCTCAGTACCAAATTTGTCTTAGTCATCTAGTGCTGCTATAACAGAAATACCACAAGTGGATGGTTTTAATGAAGAGATGTTTATTTCCTCATGGTCAAAGTAGGCTAAAAGTCCAAATTCAGGGCGTCACCTCCAGGGGAAGGCTTTTTCTCTCTGTTGGCCTTCCTCTCTTCGGTGTTCCCCCGGACTAGGAGCTTCTCTGCGCAGGGACCCCGGTCCAAAGGACGCGCTCCGCTCCTGGCACTGCTTTCTTGATGGTATGAGGTCCCCCTGTCTCACTGCTCACTTCTTTTACATCTCAAGAGATTGCCTCAGGACACAATCCAGTCTTGGAGATCCAGTCCTGCCTTACACAACTGCCACCCATCCTCCCTCATTAACATCATAGAGGCACGATTTACAACATACAAGAAAATCACATAGTACCAGGAATCATTGCCCAGCCAAACTGATATACACGTTTTTTGGGGGACATAATTCAAACCATGACAAACCTCATCTCAACTAATCGTTTTTACCCTCTTACCGATAAAATACCTGCAGAATGACCATTAACTAGCAAACTAAAAGGATTAAACTTTACCTGTTTTTCTTCCCGTCAATCCCCTGGGAGCCCTGGTGACACAGTGGTTAAGAAGAGCTCGGCTGCTAGCCAAAAGGTCAGCAGTTCGAATCCACCAGCCGCCCCCCTGGAAACCCCATGGGGCAGTTCTACTCTGTCCTATTGGGTCACCGTGAGTTGGTATCGACTTGACTGCAAGGAGTTTGGTTGCTTCGCGTTATCAATCCCCCGGGTTGACTGCTGGCGGGGTAAGAGGAACAGCGCACTTCTTCCCCACACCTCCAGTTTCCATCGGGGAATTCTCCGCTAAGCACTCCTGGCCGCTGGCTCCTCCATGCCTCTTGCACACAGAGAACACCCAACTGTGAGCTTGGAGAGAAATCACGCCTTGGTTTTCCTTCTCCCTCGTCCTTCCTTCACTCTGCTGCGTCACGGAGCAAGACCAGGTTTCCCAAGGATCTGTTAAGTCTGCCTACCTGTGGGGTGCAGTGCTAGGGAGCCCACCGTCCCAGGATCAACTACAGCGCAATAAATATCACTAACATTTACTGAGCTTTTTTATGTGCCAGGCATTGCTAGGCACATTTCATGCATGAACTACATTAATCCTAACAACAACTCTATGGAGTACCATTCCCATTTTATAGATGAGGAAATGGGGCACAGAAAGTTTAAGCAACTTGCCCATGGTCACACACCTAATTAATGGCAGAGTGAGACTGGAACCCAACAGACAGCACAACAGTATGACATAAAGTCTTTAGCTCTGACATCTTGACTTTCATCTGCCTGGCTCCTGGCTAATCAATTGGTTTTGAACTTTTCCAAGTTCAAACGCAATAGTTGTAATGAGCTGTGACATAGCCAACTGAAGAGAAAATAATCCACACGATCAGTTATCCATCCATAACAAAGTCAAGAACAAAAGAGGAAGCAAAAACAAAACACAAAGATCTGTGAACAGCCAAATTAGTTGTCTCAAAGTCCATTTTCTAAAACTCTTCGTGACCAATCTCATGACTTCACTCTCATAACATTTGTCACCTGGTATTTTAAATAAACGAGACTCCCAATTTGCAGATGGATTAGAGATCTCCCTGTGAGAATATGATGCAAGCTACCCTCCCCCTAGAGAAAACAAGCTAGACATACCTGCGGAGTGAAGAACAGAAGAACCCAGAACGTAAACGAAGAGCTAGAATGTGCGTGGGGGGGAAGGGGGAGCAGGGAGGTGTAGGATGAGATCAGAGAAAACCAAAACAAAAAAAAAGAGCCCTGGCGGCACAGTGGTTCTAAGAGCTGGGCTGCTAAACAAAAGGTCAGCAGTTCGAATCCACCAGCTGCTCCTTGGAAACCCTGTGGGGCAGTTCTGCTCTGTCCTATAGGGACGTGGAAGAATGGCAGAACCAAGAACCTAAATGAAGAAGTAGAATGTGTAACAGGGAGGGGGCAGTAGGGAGGTGGAGGATGACATCAGACAGGTAGGGCCAGATCATGCAGAGCCCTGTAGGCCCTGATATGGAGTCTGGATTTGTAAAGGTAGTTGGCAGCCACAGGAGGGCTCACTAACCGAAGGGGAAAGGAAAAACGGAGGGAGGGAGGTGTTTAGGTCGGATTACGCAAGGTGCTAGGGAAACACAGGGGTTCTACCAAACAAGGAAACGGATGCAAGCATGAATGTTTTTAAATCCTCAACTCCCACCTCACTCAGTCCACCTGCTGTTCCTTCTTGATATAATTCTAACAAGCTTGGTTGTCTAGTTTTTCCAGTCCATTTACTGGGAGTGGAAATGAAGGAAGAAATGAGAAAGGACACTATTAGATACAAACACACAGAAAACACCAAAACTTAAGAGTGGACCTCCACCCAGCAAAAGTGCCGGCCAAGCGTGGAGAGACGTTCCTATCTCTTCACGGGAGTATAGATCTGTATGGCCCTTTTGAAGGGTAACCTACGATATCCATAAAAGTTTTACATCTTCCTATCCTTTGAGCCAGCATATCTACTTAGAGTACTATCGCTCCTACAAGGGTATGAAGAGAACAATTCAAGAATGTTCAATGAAGCAGTGTTTATTATAATCAAAAATTGGAAAAAAAAAAAAAAACAGGTATATTAATATAAAAGAAGTGAAATAAACTACTATGCATTCAACAAAAGCCAACAAAGAGAATGCAGTAGAATGTATGCATTTATATAGGGAGAAGATAAATTTAAATTTATTTTGAAATGTATTCTTCTAGATTATGGATTATAAGGCATATGCCTAAACTTTTAGATAACATGATAAATTAAGATTTATAAATTAAAAATGGAAAATTTCAGTATTTTAGAAAGATCTATTCTAAGACGCTAACTTTGTTGAAAGTCCAAAATGGTTAATTTTGTTAAGCATCATGTTAAAAAGGCAACCTTTCACTGTTTGAAAAAGTTCACTGACTCATTCCCACCCCCCAACAAAGCCAATGAAAAGAGCTATCATTGTAATTTGCCTTATATCCCTTATATACTTAAAAAAAAAAAAAAGATACAAAATGCTTCCAAGAACTTACACTTGCAATTTCATCCTTACAAAATGCTATGGCTTCAGGTTGCTTGCTGGGAGGGAAAGCTGCTTCGAATGCATCTTTCGCTGCACATGCAGCAGGCGTGTACGTATCACACTGAGCCATTAGCCAGTATCCCATTAAACTTTTCAAATAAGGAGCCAAGTGTTTCTTTACTTTAAGGATGAGTTTCTCGAAAGCTTGCTGTGTGGCTTCTCGAACCCGGCGGTCATGATCCTATTGAAAATATGTAATTATAAATAACAATTAGCCCATAAAAACAAAGTGGACCTTCCTGGATATGCTATAATGACCCATTACTAAGAATTCACCTGCGTACAGAGCTAAAGTCAGTTTTTCAAAATATCACGAATTTGGTTTTTATATCAGAAATTATGTCAAATAGCTTGACATATTTTTCAGCCCCTCTTAACCTTGATAAGATTGTATCAGATTTGAGGCTGGGCCCTGAATTAGCAATTTGTTCTCATTCTTCTGCAACAAGTATACAAGGAAATAAAATAAAATAATCCCAGAAATTTATTATGACTGGAAAGCATCTAGTGATTCTCAAGTAATGACCTAATTTCTACAAATGCAAACCCTCCCTGCATACGCTATACAACCCAACACAATCCAACCTGCATAACAACGCTGACACAACACTTCTATCCCTCACCTGGAATCAACCATTCAAATCTGAGAGTCCCTATGACAGCAACCAAAGGATACATAACAGAAATAAACTAGTAAAGTTTTAATACTTACAAGTGAGATTTTACAGAAAATTCGCGGCCAGTACGGGAGAACTCCTTTGACAACTTCCGTGTCTCTCTCTGCACACATTGTTCCAAACTCCTGCATTGCCTGATGGTAAATCAGTCACACGGTCAGGGATGAACAGGCACTGTATTTGTTATGGATTACACCTACTCTGTTCCGTAAGCACAGTCTACTTTAAGTGATGGGAGAACACAGTATTTCTGTGTGTGCTATGTGGAACTAACCTGAACAGTGCCCTCACAGGCTACTCCAGCAGAAACTTCTGTTTGGCTGAATTTTAAAAAAATTCAGCCAAACAAAATCCGTTTAAAATTACAAGGTCAAAATGACATTCCCTGATAGGACAAATCTTACAGTCAAAATTCCACAGTGATTCAAAAAAGTGTAGCGCAAAAAACTAATTTCTAACCCAGAAGGTAAGTGGCACCCACGCTTAAGTCTATTCCTCAGAAATGAGCACAACTGTAAAGGAACTTATTAGTGATAAACTATTGCTAAGTTTTCTTTACATAAAATATACCAATGCCGTTTTTTAACAAAAGAATTTTCTTGATCATTTTCATGAAAATAAGAAAACTTGCTTTTAATTTTGTTGTGACGTCTTTCTTGGAAAGTTTCCGCAGCACCATTCGGAAATCAGAATCTACGAGACTGTCTATTTCTTCAGCTCCTTGAATAGCAGGAACATAGCCCAGGTCACTCTGAGACGTTCCAAAACCAATAAACCCAGGCACTGTTCCCTGTTCTTTGGCAAGGAGTTCTGCAGCTCGGCCACTGTTTGAAGGCTGATAAGGAGGGAGAAAAAAGTTCAAATTTTAACTTCTTTAGAGTAATTCCTTGACTATTCTCATGGCTGGAACGAGCTTTAAGTTGAGCACTTCTTTTTTTTCCTAGCCTAAGACTTCATCTATTGCAATGTTCCCCAAAGATAAATGTGTTTGCCATCAAGAATCTATCAATAATAATCCTAAGAGCTACTTCCTGGTTTTCTAAATATCAGAACAGTGTTTTTCCAATCTTCAGTTATAACCCCCTAGTGGCTCATGGTATCAATTTAATAAGCCATGACCCACATTTCAAAGAAACAATTAAATTTTTAAAAATCAGAATGTATCACATGTAGTAAGAACACTGTGTTATGAAACTTTTGTTTTCTAATTTTTACTAAGTAGGATGTATATATACATATGTATACAGCGTAATGATGTAAAAATAACTTTAAAAATATATTTTTTTCATTCATTCATCACATACATTGTTAGTTGCCATCGAGGTGATTCCAACTCCTGGCAACCCCATGTGTACAAGAGTGGGAGTTCCCCGATAGAAGACACATCGTACTCATGTCCACATACCCAAAGTGTAGCCCAACCTCTTGGGGCTACAAAAGTTATAAATTACATTATCATGGACACAAAATTCTATATGATGGTGAAGATATAAGATATACTCCTTTGTTTTAAACCAGTCAGTGACTTGCTTTATTGATGCACAACACAGCAACCTCCTAGTACTAAAAATAAGAGGCTTGGTTGTGACAGAGAAAGAGAACATCTGAACTTTTGAAAGACATTAATTTATTCATGTCATCAAAAGAGGAAAAATGCCTCAGCTCAACCACCAAAATGACATTGTTGTTACCCATTTCCACTGAGTCGATTCCAACTCATAGCGACCTGTAGGACAGAGTAGAACTGCCCCATTGGGTTTTCAAGACTGTAATCTTTACAGAAACAGACTGTCACATCTTTCTCCAGTGGAGCGCTGGTGGGTTCCAACCGCTGACCTTTCAGTTAGCAGACGAGTGCTTTAATCACAGCGCCACCAGGGCTCCTGTTGTTGTTGTCAGGTAGGGTCAAGTAAATTTCAACTCATAGCGACCCCATGTGACAGAATGGAACTGCTCCATAGGGTTTTCTAGAGTGTAATCTTTATGGGAGCAGATTGCCAGGTCTTTCTCTGGAGGAGCCCTGGGTGGGTTCTAAGTGCCAACTTTTTGTTACAGAAGACCAAATAAATAAATAAACAAAACACTGGGAGACTGTCTAGATCAAAGGGCCAAAATGCTCAGTGAAATGAGTGGTCCTTGATTGAATTTCACGTTTTTCAAACACCATATTTTTTTTAAAGTTATAGAGGACTTTACTGAGATGACTGCAGAAATCAGAATACAAGTTAACAGTATTATACCACAGTTAAAGATTCTGCATGTTATAATTTCTCATAGTTAGGTAGAAGAATGCCATTGTATTTAGAAGATACATGTGGAACTATTTAGGAGTTAGGTGTCACGATGTCTACAACTCACTCTCATATGGTTCAGGAAACTACATATATTTAGAGACAACGTAAGTGTGGCCAAATATTAACAAAGAGAAAGCAGATGTGGCCGAATATTAACAACTGGTAAATTTATGTAAAGAATGTATGAGTTGTCACTCTAATATTCTTGCAACCTTTCCCTCATATTTGGGGTTTTTCAAAAATAAAATGTTGGGAAAAATATTTAAATAACAAAAAATATTAAATGAGAATGGAAGTAAAGCACATAGCATAGCACTGGCACTGTTGCTGTTATTACTGTTGATATTATTATTACATCTTCCAAAGATACGCTGACAGATCTAAGAAAATGTGGTATTCAAATCACAAAAACTGAATTAGAAACAGAATAAAAAGTATTTTCATAAAATTTGACATTGTTACAAAAAAACCAGTACCATAAAAAAAAATACCATTATAATAACATCCTCATTCGTGCCGGTTTCATCCACTTGAGGTTCTCTTAAACAGGTATTTGGTGAATTTCCACCAAGGCCAGCCCCCTGTTCTATCCTCCCAGGATACTGCAACACATAAAAAACCCCGCCTTCATAGTACTTGAGGAGCCCTGGTGGCACAGAGGTTACAGTGCTCAGCTGCTAACACAAAGGTCGGTGGTTCCTCACCCACCAGCCGCTCCAGCGCAGGAGAAAGACGTGGCAGTCTGCTTCTGTACAGACTGAAACCTTATGGGGCAGTTCAGTTCTGTCCTATGGGGTCGCTATGAGTCAGAATCCTCCGGACAGCAGTAGGTTGGGTTTTTGGTCATAGCACGTGCATTCGAGTGAAGCAACACATATATTACATGACATGTTAACAATCATAACCGCAACGGAGAAAAAGAGAGCAGGAAAGGGGAAGGGGGCGATCCCAGGCGGCCTCACTGAGGTGTCCCCCACCACCTGGAGTCATCCGAGAAGAGCGTTGGGGAGGCTCGGTGAGGAGGTCAGCGTGGCGGGATGGAGCGAGCGAGGAGGGAGCTGGAGACGGGAAGGGGCGAGGGGCCGGCCGTAGGCCTCGTACACCACCCTAAGGCTCTGGCCGTTCCCACGAGCAATGCGGGCAGCCGCTGTGCGCTTCTGAGCAAAGGGGCGACAGGATGCGCGTCACCCTGCACGCCGAGCTCACTGCGACTCGCTCCTTCCCAGCGCCTCCGCCTCCCCCGCCCACGGAGGCCAGGGAACCTTCCCGCGGAAGCTGACACTGAACTACTTCTTAACAACTGCTCGGCTGGGAGGGCGGCATGGAATGCGTCTTCTCTCACAACTCCCCAACGTGGGGAGAGTCAACACACCCGCCGGGACGCACACCCGACACAGAGATCACACCCGAAACGCAAACACACGCTTCCCCGCAGCCACGATCGCGCGCGGGGCACAGAGGCTGCGAGGCGAGGTCGTCCCGGTGGCCGGGCCGCCCCGCACTCACCCGCAGGTTCCCCTTGGTCCGCTGTTTGTTCTTCCCGCCCATGGTCACAACCTCAGTCGCAGCCGCACCCCCACCCCCGCAGTCCCCAGGTTGATGCGGCGGAGCCACAACTTCCGGCCTCCCCGCTGAACCGGAAGAAGACCCACCGAAACAACTTCCCCGAGCCCCCCCTTTCCACCGCCCACCCCAGCCTGCCTCCCTTACTTCCGTACCCGCCTCCCGCCGCGACTCTAACCAACCGCTGCCGGAGACGTCACAGTGAAGGCCACGCCCCCCGCTGAGTGACGTCAGTCCTGCCCAATAGAAAGCCAAGCATCGGACCGGGACACCAGATACCGCCTGCGGCGCTTTCCGGAGCAGAATTTGTTCTTTGCGTAACGGTCCGTTGAGTTAACTGTCGTGCTGGAGCTTCCAATGAATGGGGTCCTCAGTTCCTCTAAAGAAGTCTTCCTTACCTACCCTATCGTTCTGTAGCCCTGTTTTTTTCTGTAGCACCACTTCCCCTTAAAATTAATTCATGTATTGATTCCTTCGCTTGCATATCTCCGTTCTCTAAAGGCTTCCTGAGCGCTTCGTTTCGTTCACTGCTGCATCTCAGCGCCTCGAAAGGTGAAATGGCACATTGTTGGCACGCAGTCGTTAATTACTGGAGGAAGAAATGAGTGAAGTGCCTAGAGGCTCCGGAGATACCGCGATGAACAAGATAGAAATACAGTCTACAGGCAGGGAGCTCAGTCTAGAGGGGCAGGCAGAGGAATACAGTATATGAAGGGCAGTGCTAAGGTGGGTTGAGCCTCAAGGATTAGGGAGCACCCAATGCAGGGCTCACTGATTCAAAGCATGAAGAGTTAGTTAGCCAGACTGAAGAGTGGTCCATTTGAGGAATGAATAATATCTCAGGAAAACTGGAAGTTTGGAGGCTGTCGTGGCTGGAGGGCCTTATAAACGATGTTAAATTTAGGGAGTGTAGGATCAGAGATTGCTTTTTTAGGAGACCGTTGGGATACTGTGCAATGCTGAAGAGCAAGCAGGTAGCTGGCCTTTGTGTGGAAAACGAGACAGACGCACAGAGCTGTCACTAGTGGACAAACAGACGTTTGAGTAAAGACTTCCCTTCAGAGGGAGAAGGCTGCACTACTAAAGAACTGCAGTCTGGAACGCTTAATTTCTAATTATCACACCATGGTATCCAATTGCTTCCGGAGTTGGGTAGGGTTGTCAATCAGCAAATATCAAACTTTCGAGAGCTAACCCTTCTAGAGGTTGTAATGACTGCAAAATATAAAATGTTTACCTACTTACTGTTCTTAAAATAATGAGACAATGTACAGAATTAAACAGGTTAGACAAAAACGTAAAAATATAAACGACCAAACAAAAGCAATATTATAGGGCTAGATTTGGGGCCATCCATGGTGGTCAGGTTTCAGTGGAGCTTGCGCACTAATACAGACTAGGAAGAAAGGCATGTTAATCTACTTTGGAAAATATAGTCCTGGAAGATAAGCCTCCCAGGTTGAAAGGCACTCAAAGTATGACTGCTGGATCAACAGCCACAACAATGAACTCAAACATACCAATGACCATGAGGGTGGCACAGGACTGGACAACAATTCACTGTTACACGTAAGGTTGCCATGAGTTGGAGCCAGCTCCACAGCAACTAACAATAACAGATTTTAGGCACTGGGAGTTATTTAATGCAATTAGATGCTATGTTTTTCCTGGTATCTTAGAGGGAAATTGTTGGCTTGGTACTCATTGTCTGTCTTAGTCATCTAGTGCTGCTATAACAGAATTACCACAAGTGGATGGCTTTAACAAAGAGAAATTTATTCTCTCACAGTCTCATAGGCTAGAAGTCCAAAATCAGGGTGCCAGCTCCAGGAGAAAGTTTTCTCGGTTGGCTCTGGGAGAAGGTCCTTGTCATCGATCTTCCCTGATGGAGGAGCTTCTCAGCACAGGGACCCTTGGTCCAAAGGAGGCACTATTCTGGCTCTTGTTTCTTGGTAGTGTGAGGTCCCCATGTCTCTCTGCTCTCTTCTCTGTCTTATATCTCAAAAGAGATTGGCTTAAGACACAACCTAATCTTGTACAGTCCTGCCTCAGTAGCACAACTGCCAATAATCCCACCTCATTAACATCGTAGAGATAGGATTTACAACACATAGGAAAATTACATCAGATGACAAAATGGTGGACAATTACACACTACTGAGAATCATGGCTTAGCCAAATTGATACACATTTTTGGGGGGAAACAATTCAATCCACAACATTGTCTAACTAAATAGCATAAAAGTTACCTGTAGAAATGCTTTTTACTCCCCTTCATCCGGATTCATACAGGAATTGAAGACAATAAGTATTATGCTAAGATTTTGTAGATGCAATAATACTCTGGCATCTACATCACCATAATGGTTGGTTCATAAATGGCACTGTTTATGGAATCAAAGACTTTTCTCAATGACAAGTAGTATGTAGTCAGGTAACAGGTTGAGAGATCCAGCAGCATAATTGGGGTTGGAAAGAGAAGGATTAGATCAAAGACAAGCAAGTTAATTTCATGTATATTGGGGGTGGAAAGACAGTTTTGAATGGGATAAGGAAATAAAAAAATAAATAGTTTTGGATTAGGGTCTCATTCAGAACTATATTTTAATAATTATCATTAAAAAACTTTTGTATTTTAGATAATAAATTTTAAGTTTTAGGTGGTAAACATTGGATTATACCATATGATTGACAGAATGAAAGCCCTTTTTGAAAAGCCTTATGTGATCAAAACATGCCCAATTAGCATAATAATCTCTCAGTTGGATAGTAAATGATATATTCCATCTTTTTTAAATTTAGTATTTTTAGACTAAATATTTCAAGTCCTCCAATTACTACTTTTGATTAAGGAATAGTTTGTTTCTTAGGAAGAACTCCATTCAGATCAACATATGTCCAGTAAGTATGGTGGCAAATTTCATAGTCCAATTAATGTAGCTATGGTGATTTGTGACCTGTTCATGGGGTCAAGCATTGTCATATGAAAATATGGGTCTTTATTAACTGATAGGTTGCCATGGGATCAATTTTCAATGCATTGTTTCAATTTCTTGGCAATGGGATATAACTATTATTGTTTCATCCAGGTTTAAAAACGAAATAGTGAATTATCTATGCCTTCTGCAGACACCATACAGTCATGAGACTCCTTTTTAGTTTCATTGATGATCTCAGCACAAATCTGGGAATTTTAATCCGTTCAGATCACTTTTGATTGTTTTATATCCATGTTTTGTCACAGGTTGATGACTCTATTTTTGTTTCAAATATTAATAATAAACACACCTCAAATCATCTGTCCTCAGTCATCCTCCAATTGGTGTGGTACTCACTCATACAATGTTTTTCATCTTTTGTATAGTAGATGGAGCCCTGGTGGCGCAATGGTTAAGAGCTCAGCTGCTCACCAAAAGGTCGGCTGTTCAAATCCACCAGCCGCTCCTTGGAAACCCTATGCAGCAGCTCTACTCTGTCCTATCAGGTCGCTATGTGTCAGAATTGACTCGACAGCAACAGGTTTGGTTTTCTGGTTTTATAGTAGCCAGGTGTTGAGAAATGGGAACAGCAGAACTGCTTAAGTTTCCTAAGTCTCTGACAACGGCTCCAATTGTTGTTTATTGATCAGCTCCAATTATGGCTCTTAACTAGCGCTCATTTAAAACAGATTTAGGTCTCCTCAGGTCATTTTTGAAAACAGATCCCCAGAATAAAGTTTTTTGAACCACCACTGTATAGTCTTCATTACAGAGCCCTCTTCAAAGATTAAATTGATATTTCTACCTGCCTCAGCTATAGTATTATCATAGGCAATCTCCAAGATGGCCCCCAAAAAGCCTGGCATGGTCTGTGCCTTCAAAGGCTAGACCATAAAGGCATTGTAGCTTCTAACATGATCTCTGGGATTGCTTGCTCTGAAGGAAGCCAGCTGTCATGGCATGGGGACACTCAAGCAACCCTCTGGTGAGGCCCACTTTCAGAGGACTCCACTTGCCAGCCATGTGAAGGAGCCACCGTGGAAATGGATACTGAAGCCCCTGCTTTCAGATGACCGTAGCTCAAACCAAGATTTGACAGCAACCTCATGAGAGACCCCAAACCAGAACTACCCTGCTAAGACTCTCCAGAATTCCTGACCTATGGAAATAGTGAGAGATAATAAATGCTTTTGGTTGTATTAAACCACTAAATTTCAGGGTGATATGTTATGCAGCATTAGATGACTAATACAAGTATATCATTGATTAAATTAATAATCAATAAAAACGCTTTTTTGGGAAAATACCATATTATTTACTTCCATGGAAAAAGAAACAATAACAAAGACATATCAAACCAAAAAACCAAACCTGTTGCCATCCAGTTGATTCTGACTCACAGAGACCTCATAGGACAGAGTAGAACTGTTCCATAGGGTTTCCAAGGTTGTAAATCTTTACAGAAGCAGATTGCCACATTTTTCTCCCATGGAGCAGCTGGTAGGTTTGAACCACCAACCTTTCCATTAGCAGCCAACTGCTTAACCACCATGCCACCAGCGCTCCTTGAATATAGTCTCCGTTACTCTTCTCATGCTTACCTTTTTCAGCAAGACCGTACATCCTTTGAAGATGAGTGTCTTAAACCATTGGAATCTAAACAGTGCCCACCCAAGTGGATACTCAAAAATTTGTTTTGATTGTATAAGGCTTTGGAAATCAGAAAAGAACTGAGTGTCAATACGGTAGACAATAGAACAGCAGAGAAGATTTCTGGACAGAGAAATATTAAAATTAATTTTTCGTTTTTTCCAAAATGTATTCAATCAATACTTTTTTAAGGTCAGGATTTGAAACTCTGCCTGCCTCATTCACAGCTCTTATTTTCACAGTTTACAGTTATACATCAGAATGATGGCTGTTTCCCCTAAGAAAACATTGGTCATGTCTTACAGTAGAAGTCTGATGTTAAAATATTCTTATCCATTCAAACAAGTTTCTGAGGGGGAAATATCTGACATCCAGCACTTAAAAGTATATTTCCACA